AGAATAGAACCATAATACATTCCCCACCTGTGGATTTGTGATAGGCTATACTCCTTTTGTTCGCTTAGACTGATGTTTTAGCTTTTAAACCGGTGCAACAAAGAATCTTTGAATACGTCACGTTGGTGTCTGTTAATGTAGACGATGTACTCCACTGCCAGTGTCAAAGCGGGATGGAAGGAGTATCTGAAAAATATAACTATGTTGGACGCTACTAGCGCCTGCACGCGCACGCGGAGAGACCTCCCGCCCGCACACTCCATCCCGTCCCCTGCTTCTTCCCTACCTCCCGCCTGCTTCTTCCCCGCCTCCGGTGCCATGCCTAGAAATCAGATCCAGCAGCAGCAGGAGGAGGAGGACGAGGAGGCCTACCTCGCCGCCGAGGGGAGAGAGGGAGGGGCTCGCCGACGCGGGCGGGGGCGCGGGCGCAGGCACAGGGTCGCCGCCGGGGAAGGAAGTCGCCGGGCCGTCAGGGAGGATGTCGCCGGGCTGTCGGGGACGAGCTAGCCGGAGATCTGAGAAAGAGGAGAGTGGGCGTGCCGCATGCATCGTGCGTCGGGCGTGCGGCGAGGCGGCTCGATAAGAATACGGCCGGGTTTAATTAAATCGGTGGGCCCCACCTTGGAGATGGAGGCCGGAGACGGTCGATGAGGCGTGCTGAGTCGCAACTGCCTGCCCAACCATAAAGAAGCATTCCCGTACTATTTCGATTAGTCCCGGGAATCTTGCCTGTTTGGATTAGTCTCTGAGAATCTTGCCCGGCGCAAGTGCGGCTCCCAGGTATCCGATTTCGAGCGCCCGGGGTCAGGATGGCTGTCTGGGCGCGAGTTTGCCGGGAGGCATCAATCCAAACAGGTAGATGCTGGCGGCTAGCAAAAGCAAACTTGATTGATTTCACAAGAATGCATGATATTTGTCCTGTTCGCTTGGCTGATAAGCCATAGCTAAAATTATTGTTGGCTAATTTGTTGTGAGAGAAAAATATTATTCGTTGGCTAAAAAAATACGGCTTATAAGCCAAGCGAACAGGATGATTACCATCAGTGCATTGTGTTCTTAGTGCAGTTCGAAATTCATTCAACTCCTCCGCGTTAAGGCGAGGTGGATTGTCTTCAACAATCCATGCTTTCCCTTCCAAATTTCATCCAAACTGATTGGGTCATAATTTCTAATAGAGGTTTTGGACCTAATGCTAAAACATATTTATTTCTATATACAAACCGAACAGCAAGGCAATAAATTTAAATAATCACAAAAAGGGTACCCTTGATGCAATGTCAAGTTGCGAATGAACAAACACACTATCATTTAAAATTTGATGCTCTAGTCTGCTCCACTTTTTGGAGTGCACACATGCTCGATCAAACATCCTCCATCTTCTCTCACATCCGGAAGCACTGCAAGTTTGTCTCAATACATGCAAAGCTAGCTTCAGTAAATTTGGTGTACTGCAGCCATAACTTTGCCACCACTCTCACCTATATAAAAAATGTAATGGGCGTAGATCGATTTGAGGTTGTTAGGGCGGTGTAGAGGAAGAGGGAGATGGAGGAGGCGTCGGCCTAGGGCAGAGGCAAGCCCGTCCCTTGGCATGTGCCAGCGGTGTGACGCCACAAGCCCCCAAGTGAAAGGGGCCCCTAAATTCAATCCCTACATTAGTTACTTCGTTAGTGCTAGTGCTTGCTTAGCTAGAAATGGAACAATGCAAGGATTCTAGTAAAATAGTGGATGACAGGATGACTCAATCTCTCTATTCATGGGGCAACTCTACTATTTATTTATTTTTAATGTAAAATTTACAAACTTGCCTCTCCTGATCCACATCGTAGACACCTCTCCCACCAATCCACATCACGTTGGAGACCGTGTACTACCTCGTCCTACAATCACATTTAGGCCTAATTCCCAAGGATTTTTTTGGTGTTTTGGCTCTTGCTATAATATTGCTAGAGAAGCCAGAACTCGTGAGGCCAAAAAAAAAACTGATTCATTGGTTCCCACCTCATTTCATGATGCCTTGTTCGCTTGAGCTTATTCAGAACTATTTTTCAGCTATGGAATAGTATTTTCCTCTCACAATATTTCAGCATAAGCCATGAAACAGTGTTTTCCTCTCTAAAACAACACTTAATTTATTCTTTTTTGTATTTGAGCGTATATTTTTTTCTTTTCGATACAATCGTGTGCTCGTCGAGTTTGTGATTTCAGTTTGCTTTAAGCTAGTTTATGTTTCATCGATGCCTTCAAAGCAATAAATACTCCACAATAAAGTCGACTTTAATCATCTAATGAAATAATAATAAAATAGATGCCAATATTTTTCAACTTGATACAATAGATTCTAAAATAGTCAATTATTTAATTTATTAAAAAAATGGTCTTGAAAAGATTTAACAATTAGTCAATGAATAGTTATTTTCAAATAAACGTTTAATGCTATTTTGAAGACATGTTTGGTAAAAAAAGAATGATATGGTATTAAGCAATATGTGTGTATTAGCATTATATCTTGTAGATAAGTTTAAGATCTACTAATAAATTTAGCACATGGCCTCTAAAATTCAGGGGATGGCCCTGTGGAGAGGGGAGGTGTAGCAAGGCTTAGGGCCTGTTCGTTTGGGCTTGTCGTGAGCTTTTGGACCTTCCAAGGCCAAAAGCTCTCCGAAATCAAAAGCCAGAAGCTCACTATAATAAGCTTATGGGCTTTTGGCTTATGGAGGCTATTTAGCTTTTGAAAAGTTCAAGAGCTAGTAGTCTAAAGTGACCAAAAGCTCAAACGAATAGGACCTTGGACAGGGGGAATCAATTATAATTTTAGACTACCTTAGTGGAAGCCTATTGTTTTCTAAAGGACAAAGTCCAAATCACTCCTTCGACACTCACTCATGTCTAGATAACTCTATAAACTAACCTGATTTTTTTATTTCTTTACATACAAGGGAAGTTTCAATTTAAAATTTTGTTAGGTGATAGAGCGTACATCACATTTTATTTTATTTTTAAATACATCATCATTTTCTATCATATTTAAAAAGGTACGACATATAGTAATAAATTGACACTAGAAAAACAAAAAAAATATATGAAGCATGATAATGGCGAATTCATATTGTATTGAACGTAAATTATGATGCCCGCTATCAAGTCACAAATTTTGAAAACAAAACTCAACTTGTACTAGAAGTAAAAAACAATCGTGTTAAAGGGTAAGTTAGATTTACTGAAATTGAACCAAACGTTAGATTAAAATATTATCCTATAATAAACTTGATGGGAAAAAATTATTTTAGAAAAAATATTTTTGTTTTCTAAAATATCTTCCTGGCGGTAGATGTCTCCGTTGATTTGATTAACACAAATCTTGTAGAAGCTTCGGTATCAACAGGGTTTTCTTGGCACGTAACTAAAACGAGTACTAATGGAAACCGGAAGCAAAAAAAAAATCAGAATTAATCACGAAGATTAAGACCTACGCTACCGAAACCGAAATGCACACTGCGTCACGCACAGCACGGGGGCGGCAATATAAGGAGATCTGCATCTGCATGGGCTGCGCACATCTTCACGTCGATCGTCCCCATCAATCGTTCCACGCACGCCGCGCGCACCTGACGATCGGAAGAAAATTAGGTGGGCGATGGGTTCACTGCATCTCGTGTGCGACCCCCTGGCTGATGGACGCCGCGTGGCACCGGTTCTAATCAAACGGCCAGCGCAAGAGGCGCCCGTCATTGGCTCCCCTCGGCTCCTTGCGCGCGTCCACGAGGCTCCACCGCGGCTCCTCGGCTCAGGCGGGCTTCTCCGTAGTTTATTGGGTAGACGCTACCCGACGACGGAGACGGCGGCCATGGCCGAGGCGATGGCGAGCTTCAAGCGTCCGTCTTTGCGCGCAGCCGCAGGTCGTCCAAATTGGCCACGAGCAGCGCGGCCACCTGGCTACCGCCGTGGAGACTGCACACATCTCATGAGTCGGCGGCGCCGGCGCCGCGCCGACGATAGCAGCGGCCCTGCCGCCGTGCAGCACAGCAACGTCGAACGCGGCCACGAGAAGGAGCGCCCACCTGACCTCCAACGCCTGCCATGGAGGCTGCTTCATTCATGGAAGCGACGACGGCGCCACGGCGGCGTGCAACAACCGCACTAGTTACGGCTCGATCTGTTTGCATGTCTCGTACGTGAGAAGACAAGACTCCGTGGAGCCGAGCCAATTTGAAGCCGAGCCGTCTGGTTTTTCTCCAGTCGAGCGATCCTGCAGAGCTGCCGTCTCATGGAGTATCCGTACACGCGGCGTCTATCAACCAGGGGTCGCACGCGAGATGCAATGGACCCATCGCCCATCCAATTTTTTTCCGGTCGATCGGCGGCGAGAAACCTAGCTAGCCGATCCACCGCCACCACCTCGACCTCGAGACCGGCGGCATCATAATCTACGTTTTTCCTGACGAGGCTTCGGTCGAGCTCCTGCGCGGCCTCCGCGCCAAAACCGTCAATCGCAGCTTCATCCACCGCGCCGACGTGTGCTCACGGAGGACGGGTACAACAGCGTTTGGTACATCTACTGCCCGAAGCGATACAAGAACACCCGGGGCAAGGCCAGCGGGCACAGGCAGCGCGCGGTGGAGCCCGGGACGGCAGCAAGATGTGCTTGGCACTTTCGGAGGCTGGCCGAAGCCCGTGCCAGGCGTGCCCGGCGCCACGTTCGCAACTTCTCCCTACGGCCGCAAGAAAGAGGGCGTCGGGTCGGCGGCGCTTGGACGAGATGGGATGGTGCATGACCGAGTTCGACGACACGCAGGGCGGCGGCGGCGGCGGCGACCACGTCTTGTGCGGTGCACCGCTCGTCCTCGTCTCTCGCCAAGAGGAAGTTCAAGTCGTCGTCGTCGTCCAAGAGGAAGGCGGCAGGCGATCACCCTGAGGCGCCGCCAACCAAGCTGATCCACGACGAGCAGGTGCAGGTGCAGCAAAACCCCGCCGCCTTCTTCACCAATGCTTACCCGACGATGCCCAGCTATGGTTATGGACCTCCCCAAGGCGTGGATGCCGTGGCGATGGTCGGAGGCGAGGAGGAGCATGGTGTGCAGCAGCAACACGTTGAGCCAGAGTACGGCGGCGAGTTCAACTTCCATGGGTTGCTCAACATCGACGAGCAGGTGCAGATGCAGGTGCAGCAGGACCCCGCCACCTTCTTCACCAATGCTTACCCGACCATACCATACTACGGTTATGGACAACCTGAAGACGTGGATCCCGTTGTTAGATTGATTTCCATCAGTTGGCCTAATGACCAATTAAGCCCTTGATCCACGTCCTGATTGGGGGCGCCCAGCCGTTCTCCTGCCTGATGGGCCCCCGTCGCACAGCGCTATAAAGAGGAAGGTGGGAGCCGGGACGTAAGACAAGAGGTCACCGGTAGCTGCTAGCCCCACCCCGAAGTTCCTAACCCTAGACCGATCGAGAGGGGCGCTGTGAGCGACGGCAAGCGCCATCGCCTTCGCGGCCGCCACAGCACCGCACCTGCACTGCTGCTGCGTTCGACGACCTAGCGGATGCCTGCACGGCTTCCCCTACTACGATTCCAATGGCCATGTTGCGGTGGCGCCGTGGCCGTGACTGCGCATGGCGAGGTACATCACCAATTCTCCCATCTAAGTCAAGTTTATCCCCCTGATCTACAATCCTAGAGGTCCTATTTTCTATCAATGGTATCGGAGCCAGGTTCTAGTGTGTAGATCGGGGCAGAAAAGAGAAAATAAATTAGAAGTGGCTAAGAGATTTCTACGTTTTTCCCAAACCCTAACCCAAGATCGCAAGAATAGAAAGGATGGAGAGGGGAGGATCCTACATGGGTACACTCGCCGCCGTCACCACCGCCGTCGTGCGGGAAGAAGTCTCGCCACCGCCGACCGCCTGATGGCGCCTCACAGGAAGTCTTGCCAAGCCGGCGCACGGGCCAGAGCTCAGGGCACCGCCAATGCAGCCGCTCGACGGCAGCGCGCCCACCCTTGGGGAAGCGTGCGCGCCAGCTAGAGGCCTCACAGCGGCGCCATCATCTGCCAGCCGTCGCCACCGTCGGCCGTCATCTGGATGCCGCGCGGGAAGGGGGAGCGTGGTCTTGCCGCAGGCGCGCTTTCCGCCTCGGTCCATAGGGCACCACTGGGGAGCCGCTCGACGGCGCCGCGCGCAGCTCCGACCGCACGCGTGCGCCGGCGAGGGGTACCACGGCGGCACCGCCATTGCTGAGTTTCCCAGGTGCGAGAGGCTACGGCGGGCGGCGAAGAGAAAGAAAGAGGTAGAGGGTGGATAGCCGGATCTGCTCCAACGGAGTTTTTCCCTCATCGGCGCCGACGGACACCATGGCCGCCACCGCTATCGCCTCTGCGGCGAAGAGGAGAAGAGAAGGGGAGAGAAAGAACTCAAATGAGTTAGGGTTAGGGTTCACATCCACCGCGCGGAGTTTTGACCTCGCGAGGAGCGTGGACGACCGTCGAATGGTTGTGGACGGCTCAGATCACTCGGACCGAAATCAGCCCATACGGGCGAGTGAATTCCCGGCCTAGGCTTAGATTGCGGCCTGGACGCGGGGGAGCGGGCGTGCGTGCCATAATGGGCCGCCGCTGGGCCGCGAGCGCGTGCGCGTGGGTTGGATTTCGCTGCTGGGCCACGTACTGTTTCTCAGACCGGGCTGAATGAATAGTAAAGACTGACTTTTGGTTTTATTATTTTCATAAACATATTTTGATGATTTTTGTCAAATTTAAATCTCTGTCTCTGTCAAAATTTAAACCAACGGGATAATTTTTTCAGGGAGTAAATAAGTACAGTAAAATGCTTCTGAAAAGTAGATAAATAATTTTCTCATGTTTCCGCTAAAAAGTTTAATGTTGATTATCTTCCAATTAAATTCGAACCAACGGGAGATTTTAATTCGAAGAGCAGTTACAGTTAGTAAATTATGATTATGTTTATCCTCTAATTAAGTTGGAACCAATGGAAAAATTTAAATTAGAGGAGGAGTCCGATTTGTTTATGTTAGATTATGGTATTATTATTTTCTAATCAACGTTGATGATAACAATAATATAATGAATTTAAGTTTGAAGTTAAAATCTCTGATAAATTTTACACCAACGTGGTTAATTTTTCAAAGAGTAGATAAGGACTAAGAAATGCTCCTAAGCTAAAAGAATGTATTTTATTATCAAGTTTTCGCTGCAATGATGTTGATTATCTTCTAATTAAATTCGAATCAATAGGAGAATTTAATTTTGAAGAGTAGTTATATGTATTTCAAGTTGATTTATGAGTTTTATGCATTAATTCTATTTTCTGCTCAACGGTGATGTAGAATTGATGCAGAAGCATCTTGTTTATTTTACCGACAAAATCACTCGGTTGCATACCAACGGGCTACAATGCTGAGCTATGTGAATGAAAAGGCTTGAGTCAATCCAGTTCAGGACTATTTTTTGTTAGTTTATTAATTTTCTGATTAAATTATAATCAACGTAAAGATTTAATTAGAAAATGAACTATAAGTGAATGTTTTTATGATAAGAGTTGCAATAAGTAACATGCATGTCTAATTTGATCAACGTTGGATTAAGCATACGTGTTTGTATATAGATTTATCCAGCATGGGGAGAAGTTTGGCATAGTACTTATGCTAGTCTATCCTGCATGGCGGGAGAAGTTTTGTGGTGACTCATACATCCCGCAGAGCGAGAGAAGTTTAGGTAGCTCTTATGCTATCCTAGTATTGACCATGGCACAATAGAAATGCACCGTCATGATCAATACTAATCAAAAGATAAGAAAAGAAGCAAGTGTGACTTGCAAAAGCACCGCTCATAAAAGACCTCGTTGAATTCTTGAAGTGGAATGGGTGAAAGGATCAAGATGCCCAAGAGGGGAGGGTCAATTGGGCTAATTCTAAAATTCTTTACAATAATTAAACCCTACGGTTAGCCCACTTCACTCCTTGTGCCTAGAAAGTGTTTCTATTGTTCTACCGCACAAAAGTTTAGCAACCTATGTTCCAATCCTACTCTAGCATGGCAATTCTATGAATGTAAAGACAAGAATTGAATTGCTCAAAGTAAATGCTTAAAGTAAAGAGAGGAGGAACGCGGTGATGTTTTACCGAGGTATCGGAGAGTCGTCACTCCTCACTAGTCCTCGTTGGAGCATCCGCGCAAGGGTGCAGCTCCCCCTTGATCCGCGCAAGGATCAAGTGCTCTCTACGGGTTGATTCTTTGACACTCCGTCGTGGTGAATCATCCACAACCGCTCATAACTTGAGTTGGATCATCCACAAGCTCCGCCGGATGATCACCAAGCTCCCAATCACCAGCAAGCCGTCTAGGTCATGGCGATCACCAAGAGTAATAAGCACGAACTCTCACTTGACCACGACAAGCCTAATGAGAAGGGTGGATGCACACTTTGCTACTCTTGCTTTCACTAATGAGGCATCTTTTGAATTATCAAATCTCAATCACCTTACTAGGACCTTACTCTTCTTGGCACTCCCAAGGGTGTTTCTCAGTTGTTGGAATGAGCAAAAGTACCCCCTCACATGAATGGAGGAAGTATTTATACACCTCATTCAAAACGAACCGTTATGTGCCTCTGCGGGATGACCAGACGCTCCGGTCAAGTTGACCGGACGCTCTGGTCAGTTCTCCCTAAAACCACTGACCGGACGTGTCCGGTCGTGAAAATCGCTCTCTAGAACCTTACTGGAGTTGACCGGACGCTGGCACCCAGCGTCCGGTCGCTTTTCAACTTCGGCGTCTGGTCGCACCAGACGACTTCACCTTGATCAAATGGACTGACCGGACTCTGTGCCAGCGTCCGGTGACACCGGAACCAGCGTTCGGTCAACATTTGACCCTTCATTCACTTCCAACTCGCAATCATATGTGAATAAAGTTTGCTCCAATTGATCTTAGGGCTATTTAAGAGCTACCTATTGCTAGATTTGACAAGTGTGCACCACACCTAACTCACTAGACTCACCTAGGTCAAGCTACCTATCCATACACCCCTTTATAGTACGGCCAAAGACAAAACAAAGTCCTAAACTACTCTAAGTGTCTCTTCAACACCAAACAACACTTAGAACTAGTCCATCCTTAACCTTGTCGTCCATCCTTTGAAAACCGAAACAATTTCCATCGTAGGGGCATGACAACCATGATTGCCCAATCAATTGCCATTACCATGACCTAACTTAATTGCATTTGCAAAACACACGTTAGCCATAGTAATCTTGTATTGTCATTAATTACCGAAACCCAACTATGGGCCTAGGTGCTTTCAATCTCCCCCTTTTTGGTGATTGATGACAATACCGCCTCGAGTATGTGAGAGAGTTGAGGTTTTTAACATGCTTGGTTTATATAAGCTTTTGACAATAAGAACAAAAGAGTTAGGCAAGCTTATATGACCCAAGCCAACATGATGTACTCAATAGATATGAAATAAGCACGAGTACAAGTAATAAAGCTCATTTGCATCGGAGTAAAATGCGGAAGCAAAACAAATGAGCATAACCAAGTGACATGACATATAAATAATTCAAAGTAGAGAGCACACATGTCACATATCACATAAATATCACTATCACATAGATATCATGATCACATAGATATAGTTCAATGCATGAAACTAAACATGAATGCATAATAAGTATCATACATAAAAATCCAAATGTAATAGATAATAGCTCCCCCTAGATATATCACTCCCCCTAAGTCTATCATACTCGATCCCTCTCCCCCTTTGGCATCAAACACCAAAACCTAAGGATCGGTCGACGGGGCTACAGTGGACGAGTCGGGCGATGAGGTGCGATGAGCGATCTGGAACTATGTGCTATCATCATCTTATCCTGAGCTCTATATTGTCTGACCCTCTGTCGCTGGAAGTGATGCTGAAGCGGTCTAGGTCGGATCTAGAACTGGTGCTGCCTGCTCTGATGATGCAACTGAAGGTGGGAGCGTCTCTATAGTCCCAGTAATAGGAGCAACTATGGAAGGACCAGGGACATGTAGCTCTAGCGGTGTAGGCTGCCCTGTCAACTCACTGAATGAAGCACCAAGGCTCCTAGAGACTGGGGTGAGCACTAACGAACTCTGAGGCGGAGTGAAGCCCGTATGAAGAGGTGTGAACTACGGGGCTGACACTGGCGAAGCAAACCACTGGGTCACCTGCTCTGTAGGTGAAGAAAACTATGGCGCTGGCTGTC